CATAATTGTTCTTTACAGTACTTCCAAATAGCTGTATGCTGGTAGTTTTTGGTCATTAATTTACTACGTGTACTTGAACCTAAATTTATTTAAAAGTCACTTTTATGTTTTGTATTTATTGACAGATAAAGGTATTTCTATAGAGTTTATTGCAGCATGTTACAAAGCAGTAAATATTGAAAACATTTTAAAATCATGTTTACTCACAAATATAGACACATACTTGTATGTACCTGTGCATATATGTTTGCATGTGCACCTACATGGAGACTTGAGCTGGAGGGGAAGGAGTGTGTATGTATGTGTCTGTACAGATATAGATCTAGATAAAAGGTCTGCCTACTGTAGTTTTCTCTTGGTGTTTTTCTGCATGTATGTATATGTATATGCATATGTGTTTATATAATATTAAATTGCTAGATATTTAGAGTTGACTGTTTATTTCATTACCCCCAGAGAGAGTCATCAGGAACACTCAGGACTCAAAAGCTACACAATAAGAGGAAAAGAGCCACTGTAATTCTACTAGTTCTTTTGTGTTTTGCTTCCTTGCTTTTGAATGGTTTGCCATCATAGCCAGCTAGCCGCAGTTTTTTTTCCCCTTAGGCAGTTGTGGGTTTCCTAAACATCAAGGCTTCTGGGAATATCCTGATTATCTCATTTGTGCTTTATACTTCTCACATAACACTGTTATCAGTAGATAGTTTTGGAGAAGCTAAATTGGAAACATTAAGTGAGAGTAGGAAGAAATAAAAAGAGGTAAACTTTTTCCTAAATTTCTTTTTGCTTCCCATCTTCCCCAACTCCCAGTAAAAACCACTTTGTGCTCAGTTTCCCCACTACTCATCCTAGTGTAAGTTCTGATTATCTAGTACAGGAGTTGACAGACTACAGAGCCAAAACTATGTGAGCCAAGTCCGCTTTCTTGAAATAAAGCCACGTTCATTCATTTATGTATTTTCTACAATTGCTTTCTTGGTACAACAGCAGTAGTTACAACAGAGTTTAAAGTTTAAAATGCTTACTGCAAAGTTTAAAATACTTACTGTCTGGATCTTTACAGAAAAAGTTTGCAGACTCCTGATTTAGCAGGTAAGGAAGAAACCAGGGATTTCTCATTTCATTTCCAGGGACTTTAACCTGTTATTTCCGTGGGAACATCGTAGCACATGAGCATTACATAGTATTTCATCTAAAATGGCCCTCATTGGTCTGGGAAGTAGCATAGTTTCTGGGAGGAAACAGCTTGTTTTTCAGCAAATATGGTTTGTTTGTTTTTTTAAAGATAAAGATTTTATTTATTTGATAGAGACACAGCAAGAGAGGGAACACAAGCAGGGGGAGTGGGAGAGGGAGAAGCAGGCTTCCTGCTGAGCAGGGAGCCTGATGTGGGACTCGATCCCAGGACCCTGAGATCATGACCTGAGCTGAAGGCAGATGCTTAGCGACTAAGCCACCCAGGCACCCCCAGCAAATGTGTTATGAAGAAACTTTGAAAGTTGTCCAGTAGTTGGGGGTTCCTGGGAATTGATTATATAAAAGAGAAAGGGGGTGAGAAGGGGAAGGAAGGAGAAAGGCTAGTTCATTTTGATTTAGATTGACAACTGTAATACCTGTATTATTAGTGTTAAGTTCATTTTATATCATTATTCATTAGGCAAACATTTGATCCAATGTTGACTTCTCACCACCTGTCAATTTTCAGATTGTGTGCAGGGAAATTTTTTTGTTGCTGTTGTCAGTTTTCTTTCACTTGTATGTAAGGTCTGTTAAAGAAGGATGTCTCTTGCTCACTGATGTATTTCCACCACCTAAAATAGTGCTTAACTGTAATAGATGTTTAAATATTATTTGTTGAGTGAATGAACTCAGATACGAGATTTTTTGTAGCAAGATTGTGGTTTTTCAAAAATGTCTACAGTTTGTACCTAGAAAATAGGCAATAATTAGAAATCCACAAACCTTTGTGAAGAATAAATCTTTTCAGACTAATGATCTTAACTGTTGGTCCTATCAGATCATTACATAATCGTAACTTGTGATCACTTCAGTGAAGCTTTGGTGCTTGAAAACCTAATTATAAGTTGATGTGAACTGGTTAGGTTATACGTTTCCAGTAGGTGAATTTCACACTGGCTTTAATGATCTTAACTCTGATTTTGTAAACTGCTGTAGGTTGTAAATTACCTTGAAGGTTGTTAGAAAATTTGTATGAAGTTCTGAAATACAGTTAAATCATTTTGACACCATTGGCTTACTTATAATTTTTTTCTTTAATCTCTCCAGATACCATTTATAATAGTGAAAAATGTTACTAAATACTAACATTGACTTCTTCATGGTCCCTTGCAGTTCTTTTTAGTGAAATTGGATTCTACCCAGTGATGAGCTGCTTTCATTCCACTTTTTTTTATTTTTTTAAATTATTATGTTGTTGATCACCATACATCATTAGTTTTTGATGTAGTGTTCCATGATTCATTGTTTGCGTATAAAACCCAGTGCTCCATGCAGAACGTGCCTTCCTTAATACACATCACCAGGCTAACCCATCCCCCCACCCCCCTCCCCTCTAGAACCCTCAGTTTGTTTTTCAGAGTCCATAGTCTCTCATGGTTCGTCTCCCCCTCCGATTTCCCCCCCCCATTTTTCTTCCCCCCCGCTATCTTTTTTTTTTTAATTCCACTTTTAAGATAACCTCAGAGTCACTAATTATAAAGACATATACTAAAACATTCAAAATTAGATTGAGTTACGTTGGAATTAAAAAATATATATCCAAAATTTGTAGGAGATGCTCTGAAATCAAATGAATGATCTCAGTATGTAGCAATTTTAAAGTGCTTGGAAATAGCTGGGATATGTAGTGTGCTTAGTGGTTTGGCACTAACCAATTTGTGGTTGTCATGGCTAACACCCAGTCTAACAGAATGGAGGGAAATAGGCAGATGCGAGCTAAATGTAAAATAGGACAATGCAATTTCATTTGCTGAGGACAACAGTAATTCAAAACAAATAGTTCTTTGGTTTTGTGTTAACAGATAAAAATCTCGAAGTCATAATGGCTCTTAGATTAAAATATCAGCAATGTGATACTCTTTTCTTCTTTACCTTGTGCTTTTGTTTTGTTTAAACAAATGGGATGCTGAATATATGAATAGAAAAATAGCTTGTAGCAACCTGAGGAAACTGACACGCTATTCCAGGGGGGTTGGTGGACTACTGACCACAGGGCCATATCTGGCTGTTGCCTGTTTTTGTAAAGCAAGTGAGCTAAGATTGTTTTTCACGTTTTTAAACTTTTTTTTTTCTTTCAGTATTTTGAAGGTATTGCTCCACTGTCTTCTCATTTGCCTTGTTTCCCATGAGAAGTCTACTGTCAACCTTTTCTTCGCTCCTCTCCATATAACTTGTCTTTTTTAGTATGGTTCCTTTTAAGTAAAGTTTTCTCTGCCAGTGGCTTTGAGTAATGTGATTATGATGTGCTGTGGTCTAGTTTTCTTCATGTTTTTGTGCTTGGGGTTGGTTGAACTTCCTGGGTTTATTGGCTTGTTTTCATCAAATTTGAAAAGTTTGTATCCATTACTTCTTCAAGTAATTTTTCTAGCCCCCATTTCTTTCCTTTGAGGACTCCAGTTAAACATTTTGTCTTTGTGTTAGGCTACTTGAAGTCCTTCAGTTCACTGATGTTCTTTTCATTTATTTCTTTTTTCTCTTTGTATTATATTACATTTTGGATAATCTCAATTGCTTTGTCTTCAAGTTTACCTTCTATAAAAGTTGTTACGCATTTATTCCCATCTGGTATATTTTCATTTAGACCTAGTTTTCATCTCCAGAAATTCAATTTGAGTGATTTTTATACCTTTAATGCCTCTCCTGAAGTTTTTGCACATATAAGCTATAGTTATAAAAACTTCTAATGTTCTTATCTAATTCTAACATCGATGTTAGTTCTGGGTCATTTTCTGTTGATTAATTTTTCTGCTTTTTATAGGTCATATTTTCCTGCTTCTTTGACTGGCTGCTAAACATTGTAATTTTTGCCTTGTTAGGTGCTTCATATTTTTTCACTTCTTTAAATCTTGACCTTTGGTCTGAGACACAGTTTAGTTACTTGGAAATACTTTCTTTCAAGTCTTGCTTTGAAGATTTATTAGGTGGGATAAAAGAAGTGTTTAGTCTGTATCTGATTGTTCCCCACTACTTAGCCAAGACTTTTCTGAATACTCTAACCAGTCCACGTGAACTGTACAGATTTTTAATCTGGCTGTTAGGAACAGGCACTGCTCTCTGTCCTGTGTGAACAGAGGGTACTTTCCTTTTAATTCTTTTGAGTAGTTAATTTCTTCACACACGTGCACCAGTCATTGCTCTACCAACTACCTGAGGGGTCCCTTTGCAGATCTTCAGAGTTCTGTGTAATGTTCTCTTTTTGAATTCTTGGTTTTCTTGGACTCAGTTCTGTCTTTAAAACTTGGCCTATTTACCTGGATTTCACCTGTCAGCACCAAGGCCTGGAAACTTTCTTAAGATAGTTAGCTGGGGCAATTGTAGGGAACACTTGTGTGTTTCTCACCTCTCAGGGATCAGTTCTTTACTTCCTGAGGTCCTGTGTTTTTTGAGAACTGTAATTTCATATATTCTGTCCTGTTTTTTTGGTTGATTGGAGTGTATTGGACAGTTTTTTTGGTGCCTGTTGTATATTGTAGCAAGAAGTAATAGTGGGGATATTGAAATTTAAGATTTAGTAGTTAAATAATTCCAGGTGATGATACACAGAGTTGGACCATAGGTATGAGTGGAGTAGAGGTGTGAAGGTCATTTAATGAGTCATCCACATGGACTTTGAAGTCACCTAAGTAGATGGATTTGAGATAGAGAACAAGATTTTAAACCAAGAGCCAAAGTTGTGGAGTTTTAATACTGCATGCTTTATGTGTTTGGTTAGGAAAATACTCTTCTAAAATTATGCTAATTTGTCTTGTCTTTTCTTCTAGAACCTTCTGACAACTTAAGGGAGATTCTCCAAAATGTGGCCAAATTGCAAGGAGTATCAAATATGAGAAAACTAGGCCATCTGAATAACTTTACTAAGGTAAGTAACTCATCTAAAATTCTTTGTTCCTTATTATACTTATCTCAGATGCTTTTTAACTATCATTAACAAGAAATTCTTGAGTAGTCACCTAATATTAGTGCTTTCCTCTGCTACTTCTCATGGATTTTGTCATGTGTTAGTAGTTTCAGTGTATTTGAATAATGGAAGTATTATGTGCTTGTAGAAAATTTGGTAGGTTCAGAAAATAATAGAGAGAAAAAGGTCACTAAAAAGTCCATCATCAGGTCTTCACTGTTTTTAACATGATATATTTCTTTTGCCTTTTTAATATTCATTTTTATGTGATAATAGATGATAAACATTTGTACGTAAGTACATGTGTGTGTTGCATTTCATAGCCATAACCATTATTCCAAGAGAAATATTAAAACTTCCTCTCTCTTTTCCCTGATATTCTAATTCTATTTTTTGGGTCTTGATTAGAGCCCAGGATAAATGCAGGGGCTCTCGTCCCAAATAAATATTGACTTGAATTTTATTAGAAGCCAAGAATTCTTGACTTTGATAGATAGATTGGTATGTTTTTGAACGTGGTAATGCCGGACAGCCAACTCTTGGAAACACTAAAATGCCTGTTATTTGAGGTGATGCCATAAAGAGGAAACAGAATGGCTCCTTTGGGAAATTTTTTTTTTTTAGTTTCCTCAGTATACACTGTTCTGCTACATTTTAAATTTGGGATTAATTATATATTTTAACCCCTTAAAACTGTGACCCATAGACCAACAGCATTACTGTCACATTGGAGCTTGTTTGAAATGTACTGTTTGGCCCTACCCCAGGCCTACTGAATCAGAATCTACATTTTAATTAAGATTCTCAGGTGAATTTGTATGTACATTAAAGTTTGAGTGGCACTCTTTAATCCTTCCAAAATGTTTAATTTTTTGCTGTCTACTAATTAAATTAGACTATGGCCTGGAGTTTATTTTACTTCACAGAAATAAAAGGAGATGAGAATATAGTCACTATGTAACAAAATTTTTTCAATATGGTGATGTACAATAAATATAAATAGATTAGGATTTTTTTTTTCATAGTTAAAGAAGCAAGTACATATTTGTTTATTTTTCTTTAGTGAAGTTTTGGAATAGTCAAAATTTATTTATTTGACAGAGAGAGAGATAGCGAGAGTAGGAACACAAGCAAGGGGAGTGAGAGAGGGAGAAGCAGGCTTCCCGCTGAGGAGGGAGCCCGATGTGGGGCTCGATCCCAGGACTCTGGGATCATGACCTGAGCCGAAGGCAGATGCTTAACGACTGAGCCACCCAGGCGCCCCAGAAAGTGATATTTTTAAAACAACTTTGAAAAACATTGAATAGGTGCTTGCGAAAGAGTTTTCAAAAATATCCCTAGGTATGTTTCCTTTTTTTTTTTTAATTTATTCATTTGACAGAGATAGACACAACGAGAGAGGGAACACAAGCAGGGTGAGTGGGAGAGGGAGAAGCAGGCCTCCCGCAGAGTGAGGAGCCCGATGCGGGGCTTGATCCCAGGACTCTGAGATCATGACCTGAGCCGAAGGCAGATGCTCAACGACTGAGCCACCCAGGCGCCCCTCCTTTTTTTTTTTTTTACAATTCTTTCTTTTTATTTATTTTATTATGTTAAACACCATACATTAAATCATTAGTTTTTGATGTAGTGTTCCATGATTCATTGTTTGTGTATAACACCCAGTGCGCCATTCAATACGTGCCCTCTTTAATACCCATCAGCAGGCTAATCCATCCCCCCAACTCCCCTCTCCCCTCTAGAACCCTCAGTTTGTTTCTCAGAGTCCATAGTCACTCATGGTTCGTCTCCCCCTCCGATTTCCCTCCCTTCATTTTTCCTTTCCTACTATCTTCTTTTTTTTTTTTTAATATATAATGTATTATTTGTTTCAGAGGTACAGGTCTGTGATTCATCAGTCTTACACAATTCACAGCACTCACCATAGCACATACCCTCCCCAATGTCTGTCACCCAGCCACCCCATCTCTCCCACCCCCCACCACTCCAGCAACCCTCAGTTTGTTTCCTGAGTTTAAGAATTCTTCATATCAGTGAGATCATATGATACATGTCTTTCTCTGATTGACTTATTTTCAGTATGTTTCCATTTTTTAATGAATGTAATCAATATCTTAAAATGCATGCTTCAGTGTGCTGGTCAGATAAGGTCAAGTCTTTGAGACCCAAAATTCTTTCAAGATTGTAAATTGTATATCCTCATTTCACTCCCTTCTATTAAACTTCCCAGTTTTATCTTACCATTCTTCACTCAAGTCTAGTAAGTCTTACCACCTGCCTAGATTTAGCCATTAAAAACAATTTAATATAGGTTTATGTCCTGTTTGAACTCATGGTTCCTGTCATAGTCAGGTTGACATCTAGATATGTAGTTGCACATCTTTTACCAGCTGGAATTCTGAAAGTTGGGGATGGATGTAAGGATGGCAGTGATTTTTTTTTTTTTTTTTTTTACTATCACTCTGGCACTAGTGTGGATCCTAAAGCAATATTAAAAATCTAGAGCAGCACCTTCCAGTAGAAATATAATGTGAACCACAAATACAATTTTAAATTTTCTAGTACCACATTAAAGAAGGAAAAGGAAGGAAAAGGAAGCATGTGAAATTATTTTTAATAATACATTTTCTTTAATCCAGTATATTGTAAGTTATTATCATTTGATGTAATTTATATAAAATATTAATGAAATATTTAACATTTTTATACTAAATCCTTGAAATCAAGTGTATATATTATGCTTATAGCACATCTCAATTCAGAGTAGCCACATTTACAGTGCTCATAGCAACCCGTGGCTAGTAGATACCAACCATAATGGACAGTGCATATATAGAGAGAGACTTTTTGGAATAGGAGTAGTTTAAACATTTATTTCTAGGAATCTTTTGGACACTTTTCATTTTCCCTTCTGTCTTCTCCATTTATTTCTGTCTCCATCCCAGGTTCTCTTGGGTTAGGGTCATTTCCTTGTTTCTCTGTCTTTGTTTGAATTTTTCCCACAGTATTTCACTAAGTTGTTTTCTTCACTTGGTCTTTCCTTGATTTGTGTTCTCCCATTCTCTTCTCCAGCTTCTCCTTCCCTTCACTCTCTCCTGCTCTGCTATTTCTTTCTTTCCCCCTTCCTCTTCATCTCCTCTCTCTTCACCTATCTCTAACCCCTTCCCTTTCTCTCCTTCCCTGATTTCTCCTTCCTTCTCTGTTCCCTCTCTCCTTCTCTTCCCCCATTGTAGCCCTGTAGAGTACAGAATGATTTATCTCCTTAATAAAGGCCCTAGGCTTTGGGGCTTTTTGTATTCTTGTTTGTTTTTTGTTTTGCTATATCCTGTCATTATAATTTTCACGTTTCCCTCTGGCCCTTGTACCAGCTTATAGCAGCCCTTTTATTTGCTATTATAAATTATTTTTGGATTTAAAGACCAGAAAACCAGACTTACTGGAATTTATCTACAATATGAGGAACTAAACCTTGAGTCAGGGTCTGAGGGGCTCTCTCATTAGTAAAGTCTGTGAACACTGGACTTGATAAAATCGGTTTGGCTGCCTCGTGATAACAGTGGGAAAAGCATGAGCTTTAGATCAAGTAGATGGAGACTTACAGTCCAGCTCTAACTAGCAAGGCAGTCTTGGCAGATTTCTTTACTCAGGTAATCTTGATGCCTTTAGAGGCAAGGTCTCACTATAGTGCCTGGCATATAATACGTACTTCATAACATATAACATAGCGCCTTTCAACCTGGGGTTTGTTTTTGTTTGCTTAAGTATTTTTTGCCACTTTTCTGGTTTTTTGGCTGACTCTAAGGACATGAGTCTGCTAAATAGTTCGAGTTGCAGATTAGTAAGCTATTACTGTAACAGGGTTTTTCAGCCTCAGTAATTCTGACATAATGGACCAGCTAATTATTTGTCTTAGGAGGCTGTCTTCTCCATTTGTAGGGTATTTAACAGCATCCCTGCTAGAACCCCTAGATGCCAGTAGCACACCTCCACCAGCTGTGATAAGCAAAAATGTCTCCAGACATTGCCAGATGTTTCCTGGGGGCAGAATTGCCCCTGGCTAAGAACCACTCCTGTAAATAAATGTCAGTAGATTTTATTATAAAATTTCTTCAGATACCTAGTGCAAAATAAATGCTCACCAAATTTAATCATAATATAATGTATCTTTGAATTCCATTTTGGTGGAGAGCTAGGTTCATAAACATTTACATAGCTGGTATTTCTATAAAATCTGTAAGTTCATGTCCTTATAGAGTAAAATTAGAAATTCTCAGAAATTTCTATGAATATCTCTATAGAACAAGAAATCTTTATAGAATATATGTATCTCTATAGAATAAGAAAATAAGTAAAATAATTGATACCACTTAGACTAGTTAGGAATTAGTTGGTCACCCTTCTCTGTGTTCCCATAACAGATTATGTGTGTCTACTAAATTTTATCCTTTTGTTGTTACTATTTGTCATGGGTTACTATCTTATTAAACGGAGTTTCTTAAACACAAATCTGTAGTACTTCTTTTTCTACTCTTATATTCCTTTTTACTCCAAAGCCTGGCATATAGCAAGTGTTTAATTAAAGGCTTTATATTACATTGAGAAGATTTTGTATTTTAAATACGAGTTTTTGTTGTACTACTCTTTGTTTTGTTATTTAATATAAGCCTGTTTTTAGGATTAACTTAATTTAGTAGATCAGTGGGGCTAAAATGTTGTATAGAGTAGACCTCATCTGCAGAATTAAAACTTCCTTTTAAAGTATGAAGAGAGGGTGCTAGTGATGTGATCCTATAACCATGTGAATGTCACACACCCATGCTTGCCTTCTGACATCATTTCACTAGATAAAGTAATGTGTATAACAGACTACTGATGAATATAATCATAGTATCCTATTTTTAAAACTGACAACATGCTTGTATTCTAAAGACCTGCTTTTTTTAAAGATGACAGTATTTCAG